GGCCAGATGCACGCATCAAGGCCGAGCCGCTAACGGACTGATGGCAGCGGGGCTGCTGCTGGTGATGATGGTGATGGTGATGACCACGATGACGACCACGATGACGGTGACGACTGCGATGATAACGGTACTGGCTAACATGTAGAACCTGGCATACCTTACCTGCTTATCTTACTATGACTGCTGCAGTGGTTCTCGGTAGGGCCAATGGCGACAGACAGCTGGATGTCCTGTCATGGGAGAGCCTTTATATTGGGGAGCGTACTATTTCAGGTTACCTGTGCGCAAACCTTAAACCCTGGAACCCTAGCACCCCGCACTCTATACCCTAACCCCAGACGATCAAAGCTAAGACGCCTACATTCCAATCTGTGACGCACCCGCTTGTCAGTGCAGCAAAAGGGGTTAAGATGTCGAAATTGAGAAGCTTATGAACTATATAAGTTCTTACCGCTGCGAGCTGGTAGTAAGAGATTCGTGGCATGGGGTCTAAGCTCGGAACTCCAATCCGAAAACGATGCAAGATCCGAACCTCCTTGATGAGCTCTGTTGCCTCCACTAGAAGCAAAGAGGCAATGTTCGGTAGTCTTTGGGGTTTAGGCTTTAGGGGTCTAGGGTTGAGGGTTTAGGGGTTTAGGCCTAAAGTTTAGAGTTTAGGGTTTAGGGGGCCATCCTTCTTACACCAAAACGCTGCAACCTAGTCGAGAGGATCCTTCGCAGAGGCTGCGGGCTCATGGCAGCGATGCGTATCCGGCATGATGGCGGGCGCGACAGGTACTATAGGGGTTAGGGTTTAGGGGGGAGTGACAGGAATTGTTTCGGGGGGTAACGGAAACCGATCTTGCACAATGTCACCGAAACGCTTGGCAGCAGCAACAGAAAACAGAGCAAGAGTGTAACAGGAACCACGACCAGAAACCAAACGCCCGGAACGACGAAGCGCGAAAGAAGCGTATGGTTGAGGGATTTAGGGATCGCATGCAGCTTCGGTTCGCGCTTAAACCATTTGGTTTTATTTGGTTGCGGACCTGAAAGCTGAGCTCTACCCAGAGGGCCCAAAGTAGTTCCTTTTTGGGACTACCTTATAGGATTCTATATATGAACCCCAAAAGGGAACTACTTTGGGGCCTCTGGGTAGCTTTCGAGAACATTGAGGCTCGGTTTGGGCATGTAGGATTTTTGGATTCCGGAGTCCTGGCGTTGGTTGAAGAGGGTTTAGGGTTTAGGGAGGAGGTAGACATGCTGGAATCGTAGGTCAGCACCCATTTAGCTCAGGGCCCAGAAAAGATTCAGGATCTGAAAGGAAGCCCCTTCCTCTTACCAGGGGCTGTTCCCGAGGCTGCTACGGGAATCGCCAGGTTGGTTTGTGCAATCATCTCCAACCTTGCTTCTTCTACCAATCGCTTTTACGGTCGGCCTGCATCCTGTTACGGAAAAACACACAACAGTTTGGGGCTCCAATCGGATTCAGGGTGTAAAGATATCCCGAATTTCAACGTACAAAACAAGTTCGACAGGCTGTGGGCACAGTCTGAAGTGCGCCGCTTGTGACTCTAGCATGCCCATGTTGGGGTAAAGACACGAGTAAAAACACATGGCGTATCTATTAAACTCTAAACCTAAACGGAAAACCTTGAACCCTATTCGTACGTGAAGAACGAAGGCATACTTGCAATTTTAGCTGTTTCTCAGGGATGATAAAAACCACAAATTCAAAAAACATGTTTCTAAGTAACCCTAAGGAACAACACATCGAGGTTAAAAGGCTTTGGGCCTGGGGCGGTCTGGGGTCCGGCGGGGTCTAGCTATAGTCTCCATTGTAGTTCCTTTTCTTGGTTTAACCAAATTTATAGTGAGGATCCTACAAAAAGGAACTACAATGGAGACTATAGGTAGCATGTAGGGTTAAGCTCCACATCCTCTATAAGACTTCCAAAAACCCTGGATGAGATACCAGAACTCACTATGACGCCCCCTAAGAGCTACATTGAACTTAGAACCCTAGCAAAAATTGTAATTTTAGCTGTTTCTTAGGGATTATAATAACCCAAAATGTAAAAAATTGTTTCTAAGTACACCTAAGCTACGAGCCTGTCACAGAATCCTGCAACAAGCAGAAGCCTGGGTTTCGAGTTCAGGGCTATTCAGAATTCAGGAGCTTCGGACAACAAGGAACTCAGGCTAAACCCTAGGCAGTGTGAAGCAAAAGGGAAAAGGAGGGACCCTTAATAAGGACCCCCTAGGTATATACCCTGAATATAGCCATTATATACCCAGTATATAGCCCCATTATAGGGTAGGGGTCCCCATTAAGGGTCCCTCCTTTTCCCCTTTGATTGAAAACACCCTTATATATATATATATATATATATATGTATGTAGAGTAAAAAAGCTTAGCAAAAATCCTCATGAAAATCCGTCAAGGCTTTGTAAACAGCACCCACGAAAGCCCCCTGTGACACCGTGAGCCCTTGCCTAAAGCCTAAACCCTTCAGAACACCGCGGCGGAGCCTGTGTGCTCGTCAAGACCAGCTGGAGCTCTTCCGATTTCGGACTTGGCGGCGTTGCTTGTAGATTTACCTGGGGACTTGGTCTAGGGTTCAGAGTTTAGGGTTTCCGGTTGCGAGATTTATGGCGAAGCTGTCTTTTGATATTTAATGCTGCTGCTGCTGCTGCTGCTGCTGCCGCTGCTGCTGCCGCTGCCGCTGCCGCTGCCGCTGCCGCTGCCGCTGCCGCTGCCGCTGCCGCTGCCGCTGCCGCTGCTGCTGCTGCTGCTGCTGCTGCTGCTGCTGCTGCTGCTGCCTTTACAAGTCATTCTAGAACCATTAACGTTGTCTTCCTAAACCCTCAACCCCTCATTATAGAACCCTTAAAGATATCTTCCTAAACCCTCGATCCCTCATTATAGAAAGAAGTCTTCAAGGAAGCCCTGAAAGATCTCTTGAACACCCTCTGAAGAATGATTTCAAGTTTCTGCGGTGGCTTTTTACACCGGAGCTTCCTCGACCAACTCAAAGGTTCAGGACTTGGGCCTTGTTTGTTCCGTTTTGGGCTTACAGGTTTAGGATTTAGGATTTAGGGTTTAGGATTTAGGGTTTAGGGTCTAGGGTTCTATAGGTTTATAGGGTTTAGGGTTTGGGGTTTCGATTTTGGGGGAACGGGCAGTTGGGAAAATCAGGGCTCAACCCTTCAAGAGCCCAGCCACGGTTTCGCCCCAATCCTTGAAGGTAAATCTCACCTGCGCGAACCGGGTTTAGGGCTCAGGGTTAAGTTAAGGGCTTTGGGTTTAGGGCTTAGGGTTAAGTTAAGGGCTTGGGGTTTAGGGCGTAGGGTTAAGTTAAGGGTTTTGGGTTTAGGGCTTAGGGTTAAGTTAAGGGTTTTGGGTCTAGGACTCCGGGTTAAGTTAAGGGTTTTGGGTTCAAGGCTTAGGGTTAAGTTGAGGGTTTTGGGTTTTGGGCTCAGGGTTAAGTTAAGGGTTTTGGGTTAAGCTAAGGGTTTTGGGTTTTGGGTCCGTCGCTTCCAGGGCTTAGGGTTAACTTGGAGAGAATCTACCCAAACTCAAGCAATCGGGACAAGGATGTTGGCTTTCGGGCTCGTGGTTTCACTAGGATCTGCACATGGGTGCGATGCGTGCTGATATCGGGTCTGATTACATATGGTGTAGGGCGTTGATATTATGCAGCATAGTATCCCCGTCCACAAGATGCACCCACCAACTTCCCCTAAGGAGCCCGACGCACAAGACCAAATCCATAGGAACCCTACCAACTTGCCCTAAGGAGCCCTACCCCACAGGAACCCTGGAATACCCCCTATGCGTATAACCCAAACAAGGGCTCCACCTGCGAGTTTGAGCTTCGGTTTCGCGCTGTTTAGGGATTAGGGTTTGTAAGGTTTAGGGTTTAGGGTTTTCAGGCTTAAGGTTTAAGGTTTATAAGGTTTATAAGGTTTAGGGTTTAGGGTTGATAAGGTTTAGGGTTTAGGGTTTATAAGCTTCAGGGTTTAGGGCTTATAAGGTTTAGGGTTTAGGGTTTATAAGGTTTAGGGTTTGGGGTTATAAGGTTTAGGGTTTAGGGGTTTACAAGGTTTAGGGTTTAGGGTTTAGGGCTCCGAAGCTGCAAGCGCCGACTTTCCAGCGAAGTTTAGCAGAGGCGTCTTCATAGTCAGAATGCAAGTTGGGGGGGGGCATATCACTGACCCAACCCTAAAACATAAACCCTAGACCTAAACCGTATACCAGGGCTTCTGGTGTCGTGCTTCGCGCCTGGGGTTCAGGGCGCAGTGTTCAATGGTTCAAGAGTTGAGGGTTTAGGGTTTCGGCTTAACGTTAGGAAGCCCGATGGCCTGGGGCTTAGGGTGGATTCAGGGTTTAGGGTTAAGGGCTTAGGTAAGGTTTGGGGTTTAGGCTCGGAGCCCGGATACGAAGGCCCTAGGATGTACATCCGAATACCTCTGACCAAAGGAAGCTAACAGCAAAGCCACCAGGCGCGACTAAACCCTGTCAAACCGGAAGAAGCCCGAAAAGGAACCACCCCCCACAACCTTAAAGGAGCCCAGGAGTCGAAACCCCAAATCCTACATCACTCAGTAACCCTGACGCCAAAGCCCTACGATTGATGATATAAAGCAAGCATTACCCATGATAAGGAATATACCATTATTCCCATAGTTTAGGGTCCTTAAGGTAATGCAGGATTTGTCTCATCAACAGTAATTCACTTCAACCGCAAGCCATAATGTCGTATACCCTGTACCCTAAACCTCTCTTTGTTCTTTGTTGATCCTAGGATCAAAGGGGAAAAGGAGGGACCCTTAATGGGGACCCCTACCCTATAATGGGCTATATAATCTGTAGGGCTAGCGGAAATAGTAGGAATGCAGCTGAATCACGGAACTCTCTGACAATCACACATCCATGGCAACACGGATCTTTTCTCTACGCGCACACAGTGACTCAAGGCCTAAACGCAGCGGCACACACAGCTCGTGAGGAAACCTGCTCAGTTCCAACTAAGCATTAACTGCTTCACAGCCCCGAAAAAGGAAGAGTTTCCGAGAGAGCTGAGGCCCTGCTTCAGCCTTTGAAGACCTTGTCGTCCTGCTTTCAGGACTTCATCCTCGTCGCTGATTTGATAGCGGCGAGTTTTGAGCATCTTGATCAAAGGCTCCATATGGGCCCCGAGGAATTTTGTCAAGGCATCTGCTGGGTTCTTGTTATGTGGAACCCATCGCGCACGTGCTCGGCACACTTGAAGAGATTCCCGAATCACAGCGATCTCTAAGTTAGTGCGTTCACAGTCGCTAGGCTGATCACTCAGAAGACTGTCGAACAGGGACTTGGCATCCAGCACTGCGAGACTCCGAGGATCACGGTAGAGAGGGGCTTCTGTGGCAATCACTGATGACTTCCCTTGCAACTCTAGAGTCTCCTCCTCGGTGCGTTGGCGCTGTCGTGGGTCGTAGAAGCTGATGCGTAGGGCATCCCATTAAAGAGCATCTTGTTTTTCAAGAGCAGCAGTGGCAGAAGAGAGGGCGATAGCCTCACACAGCATGGAAGAGGAGGCTTTCCGTCGAAGCCTCCGTGAGCACCATCTCGTGAGACTCACGGGGGAGGACTTTCCCAAGTTCATTTCATCGTTGGTGAACCCGACGAAAAATCCATGCTGACTCTTCTCTTTGCCACTGGTGTCAAAAGCTGAATCCGAGATGACAATGTTCCTCACCTTGGACTCCTCAATGCTATGGATCTGGAGCCTGATGGGGAACTGCTTCAGCTGCTTTATGACCTCATTGGCCTGCATGGCGTGCTCTGCCGTGGGCTCTGGAAAACTCGATGCGAGGATTGATGCAGCAGATGCTGCATCAGGCCGGCATTCACGCGAGACCCATGATAGGGCCGCTATCACCCCACGGAACTGGGTGGTTTCCGTGGGATCTAACGGAACCTGGCCAGCGTCTTTCTTGAGAGTCTTCTTTGCCAAGGTGATGGGCGACAGTCTCGTGTAAATGTACTCCTCCATGTGGATTTCAAAGGAGTGGTCCTGGAGCTGCCTCAGTGTTCGGCCTGCATAAGTACTCTCCTGCTCGGTGGCCTCCAGAAGATTCACCACCTTGCCGAAAGTGATCTCTCCCTCCAGGGCTTTCATCTTGCCCCTGTGTTGGGAGTTCCCGGCCTCGACCAGGTCGTCGACTTCGATGACCAACACCCCAGCCGTGGGATCGCCAGGCTTCTCTCCGGGCAGCGTCAAAATGCATGGCTCATACGGGCATAGGCGAAAACCATGTTTGTAGACCTTCTGCAAAAATGAGGTTCGCCACCACGCAGGGCCAGAGACCAACCCATACACTTCTGTGAGAAGAAGTGGTAATTGCCTGGGATCCAATCCGGGCAATCCTTCGTCACGAGGCTGAGTGCAGGCAAGAGGTACCCGTCGGTCAGTCGGTTTGCTTTGAAGAAACGCTGTCTTTACGTCACGAAGATAACCAGACCAGCGTCGAGAGGCGATCAGCTGGAGCACCACGTTCAAGCTTGCCGAAGACGGGGTAGGAGCTGAGCGTTCGATCTGATGGATAAATGGGTCCTTCCATCCGATGACGCACCAGCGGCTCTTTGGACTTGTGTGGTCCTCCGAAAGTTCAAGAGGTTGCAGATCACCACCTTCTGTAGCTGCCTTCCGAGCCTGATCCAACTCTTGAGGGCTTATCCCAGCAGGCTTGAAGCGGTCCACAAATCGCGACTCGAGGATCGCTTCAGGATGCAGTCGGCGGAATTCCTCCGACTCCTTGACACTGAGCACTCGGACGGCCTTGTTGTCCAATAAGGACTGGAACTCCTTAGCTCGAGACTTTCGGAACAGTTCCTTCTCCGGACCTTGAAGCTTGGCGAACTCAACTTGACCAAAAGAGGACTTCGCCTTGCCCACATACATGCAGCGGTCCTTCACACTATAACTCGCCTCGGCAGCATCAACCTGGAAGTAGGTCTTTGGGCTGAGTGGCTTGAGAATTGAGCGGCCGCTGGTGAGCTGTGTGGACCATTGTGGTCCTCCCACGGTCCAGAAGTTATTGGAAGTTGCATCCGACGCTGCATCAAAGTCCATCACGTTCAGGTAGTTTGAGGGGCCGCCCTCCAAGTGCTTCTCGAAGTAGGGCTGCGATCGCGCTGATCCGTCACGACCCGGTGGATGAGGCCCAAACCACATAGTCCCGGATGTTGCCTCATCGACTCGAACCGATCTGCGGTCGTCTGGGGTTTCCTCAGTAGCCTCTGGGAGTCCTGGTTCAACCATCGCACTCGGAACCTCCGTGACAACACTCTGACGTCTGCTTTCTTGAGGGACGGAAGGAGTGGGAGCAACTGAGGGTTCTTCTCCCGCTGTAGTAGTCCCTCCGAGCGATGGTGTACCTGGTTCAGGAGGTTCTGGAGGATCAGCTAGGTCTTCAGGAAGTTCAAGGTCCCGGTCTAGGTCCAGCAGCGCCTCCAGGTCCTCGTCATCGGCGGCAGTGGGGCCGCCCTCGTCCGTGATGTCCTGGAAGGAAACCTGCCGACCATCTCGTAGCTGCTTCACCAAATCCTTATGCAAATCGAGCATCAGGGAGGCGCCTAAATCCTCTTCGTCGGCCGCTGGACGGATCTGTTCAGCTGAAGCCTTCCAGAGGCGTCCTCTAACATTCACCCACCATGAGGTGCCCCCTGGGACCTGGGCAATTAAGGATCCCGGTCCTGTCCAACCATGCCGACTGTCGGAACGTCTCCAGATGTACACCCATTGGCCCGGATGGAGCTTGTATGAGTGAACGTCCGTGCCACGGGTTTGTACTCGCTTGGCTCGGTGCACAGCTGCAGTGTCGTCTTTCTTCAACCAGGCCTGGCGAGCAGCTGAGCGAATGTCCCAAGTTCGTTGAACGGCATCTCCTGCTGATCCCATCAACAACTCCTGATTTAGTCTATCATCAGCCAGTAAGGATGCGGGCATTCGAATCGATCGCCCGAAAACTCTTTGATCTGGCGTGAACCCGTGCCGGTCATACATGGAGTTATAGGCGGACACCACATGAGCAAGCACCATGTCCAACTCCTCCTCGTGGGCCGAAATGTCCTTGATGGTCAGGAGAATCTTGCCCTTCAATGTTTGGACAGTGCGTTCCGCCTTCCCGTTCTGCCACGGGCTGGCGCCGTCAGTGTAGTGGATCGCCGCCCCGAGCTGAGACATGTGCTCCTGGAACTGGGATCCCATGAACTCCGGTCCTTGGTCACATAGGATGAGCTCGGGGACTCCAAAAGGTTGTATCCACGTCCGGCACAGCTCCTGGCGGACCGTAGCGGCCTTGGCATCTCGACACCTAGCCACCTGAACATACCCCGTGCCATGATCGACGCAAACGAGGAAGATTTTCTCCGAGCCGAACAGGTTCATATAGAACAGGTCGACCGCCATAATGGCATTGAAGCTCAGCGTCTTTGCCAGGTGGGCGGGTCTCGCAGGAAGAGGTTTGCGAGAGGCTTCACACAGTGGACACGAGAAGTACTCGCGAACCCACTGTAGCACATCATCCCTTACACCCGCGTGACTCAATGCTCGAAGGAACACATCTTTGGCAGGGTGATTCAGGTTCCGATGCACCTTGAACAGCTCTCTACGCAAATGAGGATGCAAAGAGAACTTTCCGAACTCGTCGTGCTTGCGAAAATCATCTACTTGACGCAAGGCTTCTGCTACCTTGGTGGATTCCGTGACTGGCCGCAAGTTTCGCCGCACCTCCTCCAAGGCTTCATCGGCTTCCACGGCATCCTCTTCATCAGCTGGTCGCGCCTCGTCCTCCGTTCTGGCCGTTGGAAAGGCTCTGCAGAATTGGTTCTGGAACCTCGATTTTGGCCAGGAAGTCAATGACGAAGTGGCCGAAGTCGCTGACGAAATCCCACACCCCCGAAAAGAAGGAGCAGAACCAATTTGCTGAGAATGTTCAAAGGCCAAGAAGGTGCGGGAGGCCGTGAGGAGGCCCTCGAAGGAGTTCCGAACCTGCGCAACCAAACGGCGGACCACCTGGATATTCGCATGGTCGGAGGCATCAAAGCTGCGTGGATGACACAACATGTGAAGAAAGGCCATCACCGTAGAGTCCAAGGCCTCCAAATCAGCCGTGTCGGGCCACGCTTGCTTGGACCACTGAAGTCCATCGAAGATGCGGAAAAGTGTTTTGTCGTTGACGACAATGGCAGTCCGGAAATTTCCCGCTGCTAGCTCTACCAGTGAAGAGCACGACAGCTGTTGTTGTATGCTCCTCGCAGCCCGACGGTCACATAGAAGACAGAAAAGGCCACCCTGGGTGTCCTGCTGCTGAGCCGCCGCCATCAACGTCTGTCTGGTAGAACTCTCGATGCGGCCTGCAATGAATGCCGGGCGCCAGTCAGCAATGGTCTTCAGGACGCGGGCTCGCTCAGAACCGTGGTAAAAGGACCATGCATACAGAAAGCTGATGACACGGGTGCCGAAATGGCCTTGACCTTCGCTGATCCCATCCAAGAGACGACTTGGTGCCGCTTCGGACACCGCCGTGGATAGAACTCTATGGCGTTCTCTCAGCACAGCGCCAGGTTGTGGTTGATGTGGTTGTCTGGATTCGAAGTTCTTCTGTTGGATCCTGAAGGCACTTCTGCGACTCAATGCACCTGGTTGTGGTTGATGAGGTCGTTTGGATTCTGAGGTCTTCTGTGGGAACACTGTAGTTGCGGTAGTTGAAGAGGCATCGGTTCCATTGGGGCTGTTGTTCTGGGCCTGCTGCATCATGTGATCAGTCGTAGTAGGGGCTCCAGTTGTTTCCGGTGCCTTTGCTGTTCCCACCAGTGAGTCCAAACTTTCGATGACAAAATTCCTCGCAGGCTTCGGCAAAGTGCACGGCCTGCCCAAAGAGCCAGATATCTCGTACTCGAAGGTCTCATCTGGCATCTGAAAAAGGACAAAATTGTAGGACTCTACATCACCGCCGCCTTGTACATAGCCAGCCTCCAGCCGACGAAAAGGCAGACTCGAAGTTGCCGAGGATGCCATCGGCGGTGTAGTCCCAAAAGAAGAAAGCAAGACAGCGAGGCCACAGGCTATGCCATAACCTCGCTTGGCGAAAGTCTGCTGCACATGGAGTGGAGCGCTCTTGAGCATGGAGAAAACAGAACCCTCCAAGGATGGCTCTTTCGTGGTGCTAGCGTGGTTGTTCGTGGTGCTAACGTGTTCGACCTTGCCCTCACTGAGGATCACAGCTCGTCGTTGTCCAGCGTCACCATGCTGAACGATCCCGGGGTCATGTCCTTGTCCCGGTCGTCCTCGCTCGGATTCTCGTGGATCGCGAAGACCTCCGGACCTCGTGGAGTTAGGCCCGATTGCCGGCGACGGCTGGGATCTTGAATGGGGTGCACTCCTGCCGGAAGGCTCCTTGAGCGGCGACTTGCCTCGTCCGGCTGCATGGATCCTTGGGTCGGCTCGTAGTCCGCCCACTCTTGCGGTCGGTGACGCTGAGCTTGCAAGGCTTTCACATCTACCTTGTCCAGCGTGCGAGTGCGACCTTCCGAGATCGCCACCGCCAGATTGAGGTCCGAAGCTGACATGCTTCCTTGGCTCCTTTCCACCGGCGCAAACTGGTAATCGGGATCCATCTGGCTCATCTCCTCGTGCTTCTCCTGAGTCGTCACGGACTTTAGGAGGTTCTGGTAGGAGTCCACGTTCTTCATCCTTGTTGTTGCTCTCCCTGATCGGGTAATCGGTGGCTCCGGCGCGGATGTCCTTCTCGGGAGAGGAGCTCGAGCTTGTTCGAGAGTCAGGCTTGCCAGGTTCGGATGCGACTTGGGAGGCGGCAGCATGCTCGGCGGGTTCGTTGATCGAAAGGACGGCCGAGTCACCGTGGGTGGAGGTCGAGTCCCCGGCACCGTCTCGGACTCCAGCCTCTCCCACCTGCTGCCACACTTGAGACAAGCCCACCAATGTTTTGCTTGGTTCCCTCGCATTCGCAAGTCCTGCTCCTCGTGTCGGCAGTGCTCTGGTTCCAATGTCCACTTGGTCTGGGCTTGGCTTCGAGAAAGCTGGGCCCCCAGTCCTTGTCGCACCAATGTCTGCTTCTTGGTTCCCGCCTTGGCCTTCGCTTTTGGTACCGTCATAGAAGAAGAAGCCGCATCCGAAGCTTCGCAGGCGTCCAAGAGCAGACTGTCCACCACCAGCTGCTGGCGAACAGTAGCGATCATCCGGACCATGATCAAGACCAACCGTCCCCACATTTTCTCGCACCATGCTGATCCGCGTCGTCTCGTTGAGGTCTCTGGTTGGAACCGCTCTCCTTCTCCGTGCACAAGCGAACGGATGCGCTGCTGCATGATTGGAAACACGAGCGGTAGCTGGCCTGAGTCGATCTCGGGCCCAATTCACGAAGAACACAGTCTTCTGAGGCAAACGTCGGGCTCCACAGGCTAAGTGCATGAAAAGCTGGCTCCGCTTGTGTCGCAAGGCATCCCACGGAGAACTCGAAACTGGCCGAACAGCATGGACATGAGCATGATCACGAGCAGCAGCACCACCCCCCAAAACCGAAGGAGAAAGGAAAACACCCTCAAGATCATGCTCGACTGTGGAGGTCTGGGCTTGATCAGCGGCATCCGACATGTCAAACACTGGAGGGCGCACCTGGTCCTTGTCGTTGCCAGCCGCGATAGGCAGAGACGCCTGGCGCAAAGAAGGAGCAGAAGGAGCCGAAGCCGAGGAATTCTGCTGAAAAATCACCGATCCTGTCCATGCAGACTCCAGCTCACGTGGACCTAAGGTATGACACCAGACATCGTTGATGATATACGGGTTAGTGTCTGGGGCAGCATCAAGATAGGTCACCCGGCTAGAGTCCAACTGGTTGGTAATTGACAAGGGAAAACACTCCGAAGGCACCACAAGACTTTTCCTCGGACCCTCCAGCCACGCACATTGCTCAAACGTCCCATCCGAATAGCGAAGCCAAACAGCAACCCCCTTGGTCTGACCCAGTGGAGCACTGCGGGTCTGAGGCTTCAAAGGACGAGGTAGCTGAAAGGGGTCGCGGCCATTGACCATCAGTTCCTTGGGCAGCGACCATTTTCCGTCGAACTCGACCACAGACACTGCACGATGGCCTGAGGGTAGCCGATGCATTGGCGAGGAATTGCCTTGACGAGTCCTGACCTCGGCAGCGTCGTAGTCAATGACCATGCCGACCAGCTCCTGAAAGGAGACCGGGATGAGGAACGGTGTCTCGAAACCATCTCGGTCCTCCACTTCGGTAATGCGAAGAAGTCCGTTGTTCTTCACAATGCCGACCGGAACGTCCCAAACCCGAGCCACCGTAGCTGAACCGCCAATGCCCGCACAAGCTCCCGAAGGACCTCGAACTGGTTGAGGTTGTAAACCTTGCTGCGCCAAAGCGGTCTGTAGTCGCTGAAAAGCACCACTCCCAATCACAGCATCCTCGGCGGCACTGTCCACGAGGCCCTCACCGGATGCGGTCCTAATGCCCGCATACACTGCAATCGTCTTCGCAGTGCCTGACGTCATGAAGGACCTGCTGTAATTGCTGGGATTGGGACCTTGGCTCACAACAAAGCTTGTGCGACTCGGCTGAGCAGGGGTGGCGGCAGCAGGTGTGGGGCAATCTCGACTGAAGTGGCCCAACTCCCCGCATGAATAACATCTCGTGCGGGCCAGCAAGTCATCAGCCGAGCCCTTCATGGACCCCTTTCTTTGGCTGCCTTTTCCGCGGCCTTTGTCACCCTTGGACTTCGAGCCCTGCTTGCCAAAACCACGGCCTTTGCCTTTCCCCCGTCCTTTTGCATCCGGACGGAAAAACTGCCTGCCCTTTCGCCTAGCTTGAAGTTCTCGGCGCACGTCCTGGTAGGCAGGAAAGGCACTACTGGTGTTGGGCTCGACGTTCCACTCCTGGGCCAGTTGGTTGTAGGCGTCATTGAACGCCCAAATATACACAGCTTCGTCCTCGTCATACTCACGATCTGCCTCGAAGTACAAGAGCGGTTCGCCGTTCTCGTCCAAGAGCTCGGCCTCGTCCTCTTCGTAAGGCTGCCAATCTTCAGGAAGGTAGGGTTCCTCGACACCGGCGCTCGGCTGCTCCTCCTCGCCCTGGTCCTCGGTCTGCCAATAAGTGCTTCCTCCCAGGGTAACTGAAGCCATCGTTGATGAGGTCATTGGCTTCAGCAGTGCGTCAGGTCGGTCTAACGGCCTCAAGGCGGCCGCTACCTCCTCGAAGCTCAGGAGCGCGTTGTATCGGATTGCTATGGTTTCGCGCTGTTGTTCGCTGAGATTCGCATGCTTCAACAGTATCCGACCAGCAAGCTTTGGTGGAAGAGCCTCGCCCGTCAAGTTCTCGATTTCTTGTTTTGCGAGCTCTTTTGCCGCGATGTAATTCGAGAAGGATTCATTCCTAGAGCGATCGACACCATAAAAGAACATGTCTATGGCCGCAGGGCCAGCAGCGTCCAAATATGGCTTGAATTTCTCCAAAACCGCTGAGAGAATGGCACCGTAGCCCCGTTCAGACAAGATCACTTCCATAGCGATTCCCTCTGCGATACGTCGCGGAACACTGCCCTCGCTCAGAGCCTGGAACAGCTTGATTCCCCAACGTTGTCGAGGGACATGGTTGTCAATCTCCCAAAAGGAAAGTTGCCTCAGCCAAGCACGAAGTGTCGAAACGTTTCCGGACCACGACGGCATAGCTTTCTTTTCGCCAGAAACTGCCATAGTCAGGGCTTTCACGATAGCATCACTAGTCTCCATGCGAGCTTCCGAGCCGGCCGAAGGGGCCTGCTTTCCCAAAAGCTCAAAGGCACTCTGCACACCAGGCCTTGAAGTGGCATCGCCTGGGGCAGTCCTGCTTCCTTGCAAAACGCCAGCCATGGAACCCGCGATATTCACCGAGGGTCCTTGGCTGGAGCCAGCCGAAAGACCAGGAGCACATGCATTCGCAGTGGAGATCCCGGCAGGGGCTGGCGTCCTCAAAAGCGGTGTTGCCACAGGAGGTGGCTGCATCCCAGTGTTTCGTATTGGGCTCAAAGGTACATTATCAGGTCTCGCACTTGCCACACCCGCAGAACCAGTAGCATAAGCCAGAGGCCCCGCAGGAAGGTCAGGTGTCCCCCATCCGTAGCCCTTTCCTTGCCAGGTCTGCATAAAGGTGCCTGGCGGGCCGTTCATAACGAATGGGAGCTGGAGCGACTGGGCTCCGCTGCCACTGTAGGGCTAGCGGAAATAGTAGGAATGCAGCTGAATCACGGAACTCTCTGACAATCACACATCCATGGCAACACGGATCTTTTCTCTACGCGCACACAGTGACTCAAGGCCTAAACGCAGCGGCACACACAGCTCGTGAGGAAACCTGCTCAGTTCCAACTAAGCATTAACTGCTTCACAAATGGGTATATAATCGCTATATTAAGGGTATATACCTCGGGGCCCTTATTAAGCATCCCTCCTTTTACTCTCGGACACTACAAACCCTCGAGCACCCATAACCCGGTAAACTGCTGAAGCGGTACCAGACCGCACCCTTGTCCTTTTAGAAATAATAGACAGAGCCCCATACCTATATCCCTTAGTAGGAATTATTTAAGAAGGTCTACCAGCCGGTCTGTTTATTCTTTTGGGGGAACCATGAAAAAGGACAAGGCTGGAGTACCGGACTCGTAGGGTCCTCTACACCCGAGCCTAACCCCTAGCCCACAACCCAAAACCCCAAATCCCAAACCCAAAACCCAAGATTCAAAATCCAAAAACAAGAACCCAAAACCCTCAACCCGGAACCCCTAAACCAAGTGCCTCCCAATGCTCCCCCGTCGGTGACGCCGAGAGCTCGCTTAGGTCGAAGATATGAAAGCGACGGCGCTGCTCCAGCCCTTTATCCTTGGTTCGTGCTAAACCCTAAACCCTAAACCCTAAACCGAGGGCTCAGGGTGTAGCGCTATGCGATAACCTGGTTTCAGGATGTTGCTGGGCTATGTCAAGTGCGACATTCCATCGGAAATAGAGGGGAACCAGAAGAGGATATCACTACCATATAGTGTAGGAAATGCCCAAAAGATCACTCTAAGCTTCTGGAGTTCTCTGCCCTATGAACATATCTGCGAACCCCCTTAAACCCTAAACCCTAAACCCCTAAACCCTAAACCGTGGTTCTACAGTACGAGCCGGGCCCTACAAAACACTCAAGCCCTCTAAGCCCCCGAACCCAAGCATCAGAGTCAAATCGTCCCGGAACCCTTGAAATCACGGTCTCCATCTTAGTTCCTAGTCGCGGCTAGGCTGCCTTTTGGTTAGGACTAACAGTAATGAATCCAGCCAGGTACATTTCAAGAGTGTAGGTACACCCTAAACCTTAATCCCTGAACCCTAAACTTCAAACCTTAAAATTCCGAACCCTCAACCCTTAACCGATACCCTCAACCGCATGTGAAGGCCTTATGCCGGCTTTTACCAGCCGGGGCTCACTGACGAGAAACAGCATCCCAGTAGAGAGAGCAACAAAGCACGTCTTCTTCACCTTCTTGTTGAGGTCATAGGGTGTGTTTGAGGGTTTAGGGTTTCGGGGAAGGTCATAGGGTTAGTTTTAGGGCTTCAGGTTAACTAAGAGTCTAGGGTTTCGGGGTATTTTGTGGGTTTAGGGCCATTTTGGTTTCAGGGTTCAGGTTTAGAGGCTTAGAGACGTCGGGCTGAAGGCTAAAAATATGCATCTGTCAGAGCTACGTTCAAAGGAACCTACCATGGGCTCTTCCCCAGGTCTGAACCGTTTCAGGTTTATAGGGTGAAGTAAGGTTTACGGCCTGTTTTGCCCTAAATCACAGACCCTAAAGTTTAGGGTTGAAGGTTCCCAAAGTTTAGGGTTGAAGGTTTAGGGTTGAGTGTTATAAGGTTTTGGGTAAAAGGTGGCAGCGGTTCACTGCTTCGGGGCCAGCGAATGTCCCAGGCTCAGGGCAAAACCCAATCCATAAACCCTCTTCCCTGGAGGCAGTAACCCGAACCTGTCTGGTGCTTAGGAGGGAAGGGGGGAATGGATCCCAAAAGTACTCCCTGTATAATCCCCTGGAGTAGGCCCCATAATCCATTCCCCCATTTCCCTACTAAGAACCGACCTGAAACCCTTCAGCCGTATGCACCAAAAGTACGAAGCCCCCAGACTCGCAGACCTTACGCCTCATCTGGGCCCCCTTTGACCAACAATTTTGGGTTTAGGGTTCAGGGATGTTCAGGATCCCAAATCCTACACCCGAAGACCCCTCAGCCCTAAACCACGAAACCTCAAACGTCTAAACATCCAGGAGTGGTCCTCTACACTAGGATCCCTGTTGGGGTCCGTTCCTTACTATTTCGGAGGCCGAAAAGATCTAAGTTAGGAACCACGCCTATGGAGACCGTTGAAAACTCTACCAAGCCTTGTGAATTTTGAATCCCTAGAAGCCCTCCAAAAATTCCTAAACCCCACATGAATCCTAAACCCTAAATCCTAAACCATCATAAATCCGTCTCCCCTGAAGCTTGAGGCTAAAGACGCGACCACCTCAACAAGCCCATCTCTCCAACCCTTCCGCCCCATGTTGAATCGGGTGGAGGGTTCAGTTTTTAAAGCGGATCGGATTCTTTTATATCTCGAGAACCCCGGGTTGAGTCTCGCAGTCTGGGGTTTTCGGGCCGAAGCTTTGGTAATAGTCGAAAGGCTCTATGCTCTATAACATGTAAACTTTTAGGGTGCTGGCTCTTCGGGTTTAGGCTTGAGTGCGGTCTGCCTTCAGCCGGGGATACCAAAATCCGGTAGGGCAATCACGGATTCCTGGAATAAGTTACGGCGGTCTGTAGAAGTAGCTGTATCTACTAAACCCTAACCCTAGACCGAAGTCTTTACAAGGGTTTAAGGCTTAATAAGCCGAAGTCTTTACAAGGGTTTAAGGCTTAATAAGGGTACCCTTTTTCCTACTGTTACTATTCGGTTTTACTAAGGGGGCCCTAAAATACAAAGGGCAAAAGGGTACTACTTGGGCACGGCCCCTATACAGTAAGAGTCTATGATAGGGCTACTATTAAGGTCCTACTATACCTACATTATGAATATTATTCAACTATTACTGAGTGGGGGCCGTACCCAAGGTACTGAGGGACCTAGAAGGCCGAGGCTTTGATAGTAAAAAGCCTTTGCCTTGACGGTGCGGTCAAACTCTAACGCTAACGTCAACCTGAAACCAAAAAAAAACCTAAACCCTAAACCCCTAAACCCTAAACCCTAAACCCTAAAACCCTAAACCCTAAACCCTGAAGTCCGAAGCCCTAGAACCGAGTTCAAAACTGAATAGTCCTGAGTCGCTAAAGCCGAAACTCTGAACCCATAACACTCACTAAACCCTAGTTACCTCCTACTCCAAAAGCCCCAAACTCTAAACCCCAAACCCTGGACCCTTGGCCCTAAACCCCCATTATACTAAATATAGAAAAAGGAACCCCCACAATAGTATTGGTATTGATTGATTAAGGCCCAGCACCCCAAACTCTCACCCAAAGCCCCTCGAAACTGCCACAGACCCCGACCTGCGGTAACGCCGGGAGGACCGTGACCACAGCGGCAAGAACCTGTCCAGCGACTTCTCTTCTTCCTATTTTAAAAGTTGTAGTGATAATCATAACAAAGAGACCATTATCATAACCATAATCGTAGTGAAGTTCGTAATGATACTTGCAAGAGGTGACAAGGATAAGAATCATCACAAAAAACGACACGACGACGACAATGACAACGACAGGCACAACCACTACAACAACGACAACAAAAAAACAGCAGCAGCAGCAGCAGCAGCCGCCGCCAGCACCACCACCACCACCACCAGCAACAACAATAAGAACAGTATTTAGAATCATAGCGGCAAGAAGAACAGTAATGGTAGTAACAGTAATTGCCAGAAAACAGCTCGAATGATAAGCACACTGACTGGTAACAATCGTGCTAATCATAACAATATGCACCATACGAAGAAATTCAACAGCATATAAGTGCAACTCAGAATGGTAAGCATATTGATAGCAATCATCTTAGTCATGACCATATGCATCACAAGAAGAAAGTAAACAACATATAGAACATGAGCGTAATATGGATATAAGCGTGTATATCTATACATACTGATACACATACAGATATGGTGAATACTAGTAACGTGACTATGAGCATTAGCATCAGCATTCGGGTTAGCATTGGTATTCGTAGTAGCAGTAGCAGCAGCAGTAGCAGCAGTAGACTTAGCAGTAGCCTGAGCAGTCGCAGTGGCCGTAGCCGAAGAAGTAGCAGCAGCAGCAGCAGCCGCAGCAGCAGCCGTAGCAGCAGCCGTAGCAGCAGCCGTAGCAGCAGCCGTAGCAGCAGCCGTAGCAGCAGCCGTAGCAGCAGCCGTAGCAGCAGCCGTACCAGCAGCCGTAGCAGTACCATTAGCAGCAGCAGCAGTAGCAGTAGCAGTAGCCGTAGCAGTACCATTAGCAGCAGCATTCATTCACCACGCAGCGAAGTGTCCGAGTTCGCCTAGCGAGCAGACAGCAACCGGGTGTTCCGGTGGCTGGAACCTCTTTTGGGTTCTGGAGGGCAGTGCCAGCTCCATCGACTAAGACTACACTTGCTCAGCATCAGGCACCAGGAGGTAGTACCTGACGTAGCCACACTATATATATGTTGTCATCGTGTTCTGTACTGACTGGCTTTGCGTTGCAGGAGTCATCAGTGATCCACCACTTTTCTGCTCCAAACAGCGGTTGTCCTCGTAAGATAGTTCTGTAATGCCCCATATCAGGAGTGGCCCCGTAGTGAAGCTGTACAGCGACGACCTGGTAGTGGACATAGCGAACTTGCATTGTGTGCAGACCTGTAAAGAGTGGCATACGGACTGTAGTCGAGGCCACGACCAGTGGTCTGGTGTCTCTGCGCATGACTCCCTCGGCATTTGTGAAGCGTTGGAGCTGTATACAGAGCATGGGAGACGGATTCAGCAGTGCATAGCGAGCTGTAACCTGAGCACTCCACCCATCAATGGCTGCTTGGAGCTCCAGACTTGGACCTACCGGCAGCGCAATCGGAATGGGAGCTTGGGTAGGCCCCTTGTCAAGAGTGGCAATACCTCCAGGTACAAAGTTTCGGGCCTCCCAGCCACCATTGAACCCACTATGCGAGAACCTGGGTAGAAGATATTGCAGCAGTTCAGCTGCATCGTGCTGACGATGCACAGAAGGCCAAGCTTGCAGCAGCATGAGCCACGGTACCGAGTGGAGTACCTGAATGGGGCAATTGGGCGAATCAGTGATTGGTGGGCACAGCATGGTAAGAGCCTGCGGTGGAGGCGAGATGTAGGCATCATGTAGCCTAGCCTGAAGGATTGTCCACAGAAGGGCATAGATGGTAGAGTGTAGGTAGCACAAATTCGATGGATTGTGGAAAATCAATCGAAGGACAGCCTTGAGACTAGGGCGCACACTCAGTATGGCATCTGATGTTGCCACACTTCCTGGACCAGGGTGTCGTAGTTCGGCCGATCGCGGCGAAGCCTGCAGCCCAGGGTGTGCCACGATGCCTGGCCGATCCACTGGTTCAGCGTGCTCCACATGGCTCCTCCCTCTGGGCGAAGGGACATGCAGATCTGGAACTGAATCCAGTCGGAGGTCACCTCCGTGGTGAGCTTCCTCATGGACTTGAACCTCACCAGGGTCTCTTCCGTAACAGCCTTCCTCATCTGAACCAGTTGGGCCAGCAGATCTTCCGCCGGTATTGGCCTCACTGAGTTGTCGACTTCCAGACATTGTTTGGTAGGATTCCATGTAAGATGTTTCCAATGTTTCTGATCGTCGATCCAGTTCAGGTTCTTGGCTTTGGCGAGAGCATCCTCGTCCGCAATCATGTTGGTCAACCTCTGGTGTAAGGTGATGAGCAGCTGCTTGAAGAGCATGAGTTTGAGGGAGTAAGTAATCTTCTCGGGTTCTTCCTCTTTCATCTTCCTCCACTTCTCCGCTGCTTCGCAGAGAACCGGTACCATCCCTTCTGGCCCTGATCGTACAAAGAGGTAGAGGACCAGATCCTGACGGATGGCTGAGATGATTTGCTCCTGACGAAGGACCAGCTGGGATAGTCGATTCATCCTGTACTCCATCCAGTCTGGATCGTGATTTCCCAGTGGCTGCAGGTCCTGGGTCTGTGTCCAGGGATTGGGTGGATGGCTTCCGAAACCATTTGTGTAGCCCGTGACCTGGTTGGCACTGGATGGACTTGGTAGGCCCTGCTTTCCCTTGCCTTTGCCCTTGGTACCCTTGCCCTTGCCTTTGTTCCGGTCCTGCGGAGCCAGACGCTGCCTCTTGGACTGCTCGGTTTGATGCAGCACATCTCGTCGTGGTTCCTGTTCCCGTTTGACCGGACCAGCATGGGCCCAAAATTGCTTCTCCTGTTCGTCCAGCTCCATGGGATCCGCGCAGAGTGTCATGGTGCACTGCTAGAAAGGCGCAAATATGCAAAACATGACACTGCTTCCAATGACGATCTTTGTTGATATTTCGCTGATGACAGTATCGACATGGTACAACAGTATGTCGGCGGAAACCAGTAAGAAGCTTGAGAGTCGCAGGTTGGCATTCTTTCCACTCTGGATGCTGCATGGTGAGATGATACTTGATGCTGGTAGGGGTGGCTAGCCACTGGTAACACAGCGGGCAGTGGTGCTGGAGGTACGAGTAGGTCTCCGGTTTCACAAGGAGGTCAGTCCACCTGCGGGCACTTAGTGTCTCAAGCACATGAGATTGCTGATATAGAGGAGCAGCCTCGTGGCTCGGCGAAGTGGAGCTATCCTGCAGGGGAGCATCCAAGACAGGGGGTTCAGGTATATCGACAGGAGCAGGCGGGGGCAAAGCAGCCTGATCGTTTGACAGGATGTGAGTCTCCGGAGGCAGATCCTGGGGTGGCAGAGTAACCGGGTCAGGGACTGGTACGGGATCAGAGTCATCAGAACGCGGAGCCAAGGGTGGGGCAGCAGCAGGAGGTTGGGTGGCAAGTCTACGAAGTACCTGACACCGATTGCGTTTAATGTGCTTAACGAGGCCATCCCATTGTCGAAAGGGATGGGCACAGTGTCTGCACGTTGGGAGTCCTTCTGTTCCATGTGCATACCTGTCAAAAGGCACCGAGACAGCAGCAGGTGTTTTGAGGCCGTGCCACTTAGCCTCGTGAGAGCGGAGGAGCCGAAAGGAGGTAAAGACCCGATGACATTCCTGGCACTGATGTACAGCAGGATCTGTGATGCCTTCCTTGTCCCCAAGAGGGACCTGCCATTGGCGTTGCACTTGGAGGTGAAGTGTAGCGGCAGTGTCTCGAGCTGATTCCACCTGGGCTTGGGTCACGAAGCTCGTCTCAGTGCTCAGGCGAGTCAGGCTACGATGCAAGGCAGCGGCTTCCCTCTGCAGGTGCTCCAAAATGGTGGACAAAGAGCATCTGTGTAGAAGGTCCTGTGTGGATTCTTTCTGAAGATGTGCAAAGGACCGTGTGATGGCTCGAACCTGCTTGGTCATCATGTGCTGCATTCGCTGTATGTCCTTGGCACCTGGGTTAGATGCTGCGATACCATAGAGCAGCGTGGGAAGCACTGTGGATTTCCATAGACTGAGACGATGCGTCTGAGCAAGATGCCTGGTGGAGCACAGTACACCACGGAGTCTTTGCCAGGCCTGATTCGCAGCCTGCAGCCGATAGGTGACTGCTTGTTTGGCCTGTGAATGGTAGGAGATACGTATGCCTAAGTACGTGTGATGGTCACGCAATGGAATTTCATACACTGTTCCCCGCGGACTGCGAAAACGTAGGAGATCCCCCTCGGGTTTGGGTATGAGGTGTCGGCGCAGCCAGCCTCGGATGAAACTGCCCTTGTGTCTCAGTAGCAATGCTGATTTGGCCGAGTTGATGACCATACCATGGGCCGCAAGGGCATCGAGGATCTTACTAAAGCGATACACCATGTCGTCCAGCTCACGAGTGTTCTGCACAGTATCCTTGAGGTGTATATCATCAGCATAAATCGTGGAGCATTGCTCTAGCCAAGGGGCTGTGAGAAGCGGGTCCCCCTCAGCAAGAATCTCACGATATATCTGTGCTAGAGCGAGTGTCCAGAGCAACGGAGCCAGTTTACACCCTTGTCTAAGTCCTCTTTGGGCCTCCACCTTGGCAGTGTGCCCAAGGTGAGTAAGGACATAGGAGATTTCAGAGTGCCAGGACATGATTTGGTGTCTGAGCTCAGCCGGAACTTCGGACGCTAGTAGAGCCTTGTCCAGCAGGCGCCAGTCCATGAGGTCAAAAGCACTGGAAAGGTCCAGCGACAGTTGTGCACCTGCAAAGTGTGGGCAGGGTTTCGGCTGTTGTGCGTGACGATCAACAACCGTAGGTGTTGAAATCGAGCAGCGATCCTGAACATATTTGCAGTGTGCAGCGACCCGATGTATGGCTTGGGCAGCATTGCGACCTGGCAGATATGCAAATTGTGCCTGGTCTGCAAGGAATCTCTCGGCGTAGGGGCGCAATTTCGCCTGCAGTATGGAAGCATATGCACGGCCACTGGATTCAGTTAGCCCTATAGGTCTGAGATTCTTTGGTGAAAGTGGTCGCGGAATCTTGGGAACAAGAGTCAACCATGCGCTTCTCCAAAGCTCTGGTATTTGAGGCCATTGCCGGCACCATTGACACAAGAGAGGCGCAACGAGGTCCGAGGTTAGCCTCCATAGAGAGTTTGTGGCTAAGTTCGGAGGTGTAGCTTTATGCGGTGACAATTGCGAAAGCGCCAGGGTCATTTCGGCCTCCGTGACTTCAATGTGAATGGGCTGTCGCTGGGGGCCCTGTATGCTGCCATCCTCGTCCGCAGCATACAGTTTGCGATAGTGCGTTTCCAACTGTTTTAGCTGGGTCTTGGGATCCTGCAGATGTCCGCCAGAGTCTCGCAGTTGAACCTTCGGCTTGGAGGATTTGGGAGCTAAGGTACGGATGCCAGCATATAGCTTGCGAGAGTCGCCTGAGCTGGCAGCAGTCTGGAGTTCCTGTAGCCTGCCATGGAACCAGTGCTTTTTGGCTTCTTTCCCGGCACGACGAAAGGCCTTGTGTGCCGTCTTGAAGTGATGGTAGCACCTGGAAACATAGAGCGGATTATGCTGAGCTTGAGCTTTGGCTGTCTTCCAGACTCGGTAGGCCTGCCACATGGAGCGAATACCATCCTGCATAGGCGGTGTTTGCCATAGGGCCAGTCGATGCTGTCCTGCGGGTGGCGGGAAGAATTGGGAGGCACAGTGGATCAGGGTGTCATGCAATTGCCCAAGATCATGAACCCCTGGTAGGGATGCCTGGACAGCAGAGCGTAGACTTTGAACTCTCGGGTCCCAGGTGGAGCGGCAAACCTGAATCAGGCCCCAATGGTCCCACGCCCGTTGTGGTGCCACCGATTTGTTGAGGGTGTGGAAACGCTGAAGCGGGATGCTGGCCTTCAGTGGCAGGTGATACCCACCAAGTCTCCAGGCAGCCAATCCCAGGCGGAGCGGTCTCGCCTGCCTAGCACGATCATCCGCTTGGCTGGTACGCATGATGATATGATCGATAAGGCTAGCACCTTTGTTGTGATGGTATGTAGGGCCAGCCGCCTTGCACCACGAGTTGAGGTGTAAGAGGGAAAAGTCCTCTACCAGGTGCTGCAACCTTGCCTGATCTGGCGGATGTGTGCTCGTGCTGGTGCCTGAACAGATCCTGGTGCCGGCTGCAGCACACGGCTTGATCTGAGTATTAAAATCTCCAAGCATGATCACTGTGTTTCGGGCAGGCAGAGCTGCCAGGATCTTGCCAATGCACTCCCAGACAGCTAAACGTATGGTTTTCGAGGATTGCAGTGCGAGTGGATGAGAGTTGTGCGGCTTTTGATAGATGTGCAGCAGGTCAACTGCCCATTTGTCGTGTAGTATCCTCAAGTGTTGCACCCTGCCCGGTTGAGGGTCGGCGTAAACAATTCTGCAGTTGCGGGTGGCATTCTTATTGAGAAGAATCAGGAGCCCAGCAGATTTGTTGTCTGTGGTTGGGGAGGTATACACGTCCCAGGTAGCAGTGGGAAATGTTGGCGCCACCTTGTCCGTCCAATGGGTTTCTTGGACACACACGATTTGGGGTCGTTCGTCAGGTGGCATGTTTTCAAGTGTCAGCAAGAATTCCTGCCACAGGGCCTGGGACAAGCCTCCAGCATTCCATGAGAGGAACAGCAGGCGTCCCTGGGAGACTTTCAGAGCGGCCTGCTGCATGCGACGCTCAGCCTGAGGGGCAGGTCGATGGCCCCGATAGCCCTTGCAGAGCTGTTGCAGGGTACAGACACGACCTCGATAAATCGTATGCTGGGCCTCGTCCTGTGCAGCACGACGTAGGGCACGTTTGTAGGATCTCTTCCTGGCAAATGTGTGCGCATTTGTATGGACGGTGGCCTGATTGAGGGTCGCTGAGTGATGTGCAACTGTAGAATGCAGGGGGTGTGCAGATGGCACTCCCCAGATCGACCTTGGTAGTGCAAGCAAAGTCGAGAGGAACAGGATGGAGCGAGGGCATTGCCTGGGGTACGGCGTCGTGCCCGGGGTCCGGCTGGGGCAATACGCAGTCGACGGAGGGCAAGACCTGTCAGCAGTGTGGGTTGATCTAGTGGCAGGTGTTAGTGTTTGTACTCCAGGGAAAGGCCTCCGAGAGCGAGAAAGGCCAGGAGAGGTAAGGTGTAGAAGTGCTGGAGCCCGGATGGCAACGAGGCGAACAGGGAGACCCTGTTTGTAGAGGAAGAGGTACCGGGGCTTGGACTGCAGTGGAACATATCCTAGCAGCAGCTTGTCCAGGCTGTTCGGCACGCCACAGGGGCCTGCAGTCTGATCACCCGGACCAGCCCACGATGAACAGATGACTGAAAACGGAGTGGAGGTCAGGCTAGGAGAGCAGGCGATGCCTAGAGTAACTCTTAGGTCAAAGCATGTAGTGTGGTTTTGTGGGGGGTCTCGCAAGACTGCCCTCACAGCAGAGTGTAGTTCATTGGGCTCCTGCCACGGCTTCCCGTCCCCCACCACGAAGGTGAGTTTCGGTCTCGTGAGCGGGTGACAGCCGCTCACAACCCTCGCCCCTGCCGACTGTTCGGAGGCTAGATGGACAACCAGCGGGTGTCTGAGAGATAACAGGTTGTCAGCCGTATGAAAAAGTCGGTCTCCGGAATTGGGACCGGAGTGGCTCAGGGCAGATATGTTGAGATTATGAGAGAGGCACTTCGGGATGCCAGTTGTCCATGTTGTCAAAAATGCTGACATCGACTTCGAAGGACGGTGCAGCAGATCATCTACACATCTAATCCATAGTGTGCAGATCCAGGGCCGAAGGGGAAACCTTGGGTTGCAACGGCTCGTCAGGAACAAACTCACAGGATCTGATCTTATTGGTCTGCGAGGTGCTAGTTTGTTGCATGCGGGTGGCATAGGGGGTGCTTCTACGATATTCAAGCCGACACCACTCACAGCATGGGTCCGCCAGACGATAGGCCAGCCACGTGCCCGGGATGTCCTGCACGAATTGGGCAGGAACATATCTCGAGGTGATGTCTGCTCGATCCACTGGCCTGCGCCCAATGGCGAAGACAGACCTGAAAGCAGGCTAAGGGAACCGCGAGTTGGGATTAGCAGCTGCTTGGGGGCGACAGTCTCGAGAGCTGAGAGCCCGTCGGGTTGCAGACCAGCTCCTGGTGGTGGAGGTGGGCACCGGACCGAAGCAGGTCCAGCAGCAGATGGTCTGGTGTGTCGAAGGCACACCAGGCAGTGTTCAGGTCTGTCAGTCAAGAAAGCGTCTGGCCACCCCTGCCAGGTGCGATGGCTGGAGCAATCATTACGAGAGCAATAGGCATGCAACAGAGTGGGGCCTGTTGCCAGTGCAGCTGACATACCTCGAGGCACAACACAGCGATAGTGAGCACGGTGTGGGGAGGCACCGCAGTGCCATGTGATCCCGACTGGCATTGTCGTAGATGTGCACACCGGACGTTCAAGGCCTGGATGGGTACATGGAAAAGAGCTCAGGTGCCGTTCAGACCCCCAGTAAATTAACGAAGGGACCTGCAAGGAGTCGGGCGTGCCGGCGGGCATCCGGCAGGTCGGGAGATACAAGCCTGATGGCCCCAAGTGTTGCAGGCAGTGACTGGTGGAAGGAGCAACAAAGGTTTGTGAGCGGGGAACCCACCCAGGTGGCTGCTCGATCCTAGGTGCAGAGGTCTGCAACTCCGAGCACTCAGTAAAGCAATCCCTGCCTGTGTCACCCTGGTTTGGCGAAGCCTCCAGTAGGCCAGACCTTAGAGGAGCGAGGACATGAAGCTTGCCCGATTGATGGGAGAGGAACATGTGGGTCTTCAGGCAAGATGGACTATGCCGATGCAGACGTGGACATGATGAACAGCAGGCTGGATCCTTGTATGCTGCACTGGATGAGGCCGCTGAGTCCGAGTGAAGTCCTGCGGCTCTATTGGCCTGGAAGATTTCTTCCATTTTCTTGGCCATCTTCTTGCGGACGCGTTCCTGGTGCCTCGCAGCTTTGGTCATCCCAGTGCCACGGCCTTTGGCTGCGGTTGAGGAGGTCGTAGGTGGTGGATCAGCCGGGTTGTCCGTGACGTCAAACCAAATCGATCGTCTCGGCTTGGGCCGTGTCTGCATCCTCCTTGGTTTCGGAGAGGAAGCATCAGATCGTACCCGTTTGGGTCCTCGTTGAGGTGGATCTGATGGGTCGGCCAAGGTAGCAGCCGAAACCATGGTCGGAGCATTAGGAGTCTCCGAGCTGTGTGCTGTGGCCGATCGAAGGACGAGATCTCCTGCCTGTATAGTGAGCTTCGCTTGTGCAGGTGTGCAGTCCTTCTCGAGTTCAGAAGGGATGTGTGGCAGGCGACCACGAGCTTTGGGTGTCGGCTTGAGTCGGCCTTTGTCGTCGATCGCAGGGTCAGGCCGCGAACTGGAGCTGGGCAAAGGTCTGGAGGAAGCAGAGAGTGCCGCAAAGTCCACAGCCTGTATCAAAGCACTGCTTCGCCGCTTGGACTCTGTGAGGCAAGGGTTGGCCTCACGGGCGGGCGTCCATGTGGCCTGCACAGCAGTTCCCTCAGGCAGCATGTTCTCGGAGCGCACTGAGAGCCAGAGGGCCACCAGCTCCACCGACTCAGCACTTTGTATAACCTGATCGGTACGCTTGCCATGTTTGTTGCTCCCCGAGGGAGCATACACCACCTCCCACTTAGCAGCCCAAAAGAGACCATCTCCACATAGTGGTATCCATCGCATGTAGTTCTCCACCTTGTGTTGCAGGCTGTCGCGGTGCAGATACACCCCTGGACAGCCTGCCAGGAATCTGTCTCCTTTCGACTCGTCAGTGCTCGGGAGAAGTTGGCCATGGTAGATGATGGAGTAAAGCGCCTCCATCTTACATCCGTGCCATCCCCTTAGCCAGCCATCCTGGCACAGCAGCTCGCAGTGCCGTGGATCCAGTGGTGTCCACGGGAGCCTCCACCAACCATCAGGTTGCGGGACTGGGTCCCCAAGTAGGGTGGCCAGAGATGTACCAGTGGGGCCTCGCCGTGTCCTGAAGAAGCTCTGCAGAAACCTCTCCACATCCAGGGTACAAGCAGGAGCACTCGGCGGTTGGGGCAGCTGTGTCCTGGCCTTGGCCCCCCAGATCAGTACTCGATCTGGAGAGGCAGGTAAAGCATGATCGGCCAGGTTCCATTCAGAAGGGCCACCAGAAGATTGGGGATCAAAGGCCGGAGCGGGCTTCCTCTCTGTAGTAGGTGTCCCTGTAGCTGTGGCAGAAGCTGAAGACTGAGTCGTAGAGCTCGTGGTGTTCTGCGGAGCATCACTGGTGGGATGCTTTCTCATCCTCTTGGGAGGAGGCGGACTCGGAGTACGAGGTTGGGGAATCGCGGTCTTGCTTCTCCTGGGCTTGGTGGGCCCAGTCTCCTCTTCCCTCGGAAGAACCAGGGCAGGCCGAGGTTTGCGCCAGGTCACCTGCTTTGTCCCCGGGTGGTAGTAAAAGGGCCGATCGCTAGCTTGGTCAACGTGTTTTTCCCAGGGTGCCTCAAGCGTAGCATCTTCCACCGGGGGATGGACATAGTGTCCAGCTGGATTCCGTTTGGGTGCCGCCGGAGGCACCATGGTCTCCAGGGCCTGATAGCCGAGGAGGTATCGGGCGCTGTAGATGGTTAATGGTGGGGGAGCACATCTCCACCTCAGACTCGGCTCCATTCCATCACACATGGAAGCTTGTGTGGCTTCCAACCCCAGTCGGGGAGCGAGGTGCTCCTTGTCGATTGTAAAAGTACGACGTTGTTCATCCCGAGGGCCTTGTATGATCCGCACATTCCGCGTAGTGTTGCGGTCACACTCCAAGGTAGGGAGCACAATCCCTCGGCGGCCGACGAGATGACGTCTGTGACCGTCGATCACCTCTACTTCGGTCCCCACTGTAAGCGGGACGAGTGCCGCCTGCCACTGCGGCCGGTCAGGCTCGGAGGCAGGCTCCATGATCCCTCGAAGGGCGCAGGTGGGGCGCGTTATGACAGGATAGTCCCTTGACTTAAGAAGTTGAGGGGGTGATACCTGCAAGTATTCGGCGAGAGGTCTCCCAGCCCTAAGGGAAGCAAGGTGGTCAGAGGTAGTGGCAGTCAACTGTAGGACCCCATGCTCTACCAAAGTCATCAATGTGTCTTGGTTTGTGGAAAGCTGCAGACACACGCGACAACCACATGGTGGGGCTGCAGAATGCATGCAGGAGCACGGTAGAGTCTCATGTTGGCTGGTCACAGATTGCAGCTGCAGAACTGAGATCCAAGCCCCGTGGTGGGCAGGGAGAACACCAAGGTGGACGTCTCGAGGGTCCTGAGACCTGTGGCAAGCAGCGTTCGACAAAGATATGCCAAGTGCAAATGGAGGGCTCCGCTGACCTGGAGCCTTCGCGATGTCATTGGAGTCTGCCATGAGGTCGGCCTGGGCAGTGCAGTCAGCATAGAGGATAGGCCAAGTTAGCAGTGACAGCTGGCTCCGAAGTGGTGTCAGTGCAAGTGCGCCGACAGAAACAGCACGTCTTTTGTGAGTCCCATTCGAGAGGCTGCTGGGCACAAAACAACAAGTCTGCATACAGGAAGAGACGGCAGAGAGCTGACAGCTGTCAGGTGCACCTGTAGTGCAAACTCTGCAGAAAGCTCGTGCCTGGCCACCATAGAACCTGTTGTCTCGTGGCTCAGCTCGGTGGCCTA